AAAACGAAATGCAATGATAATCTGCCTTGAAGTAATAATGAAGATTTATAAAGGGATATGCAAAACTTACCTTCTCATGAAAAACACATATTTCATATCTGGAAACAACATATTCTTATACAGATAATGTTTGTGTTCTTAGGATCATGAGGAAAGTAGGGCTGGAAGGGACTTCACAAGGTCATCTAGTTCAGACCCATGCTCAAGGCAGGATTGTCCCTGATGATCCTAGCCGAGTGCCTATTCAAGTGTCTTACCTGCTGTTGAATTTCTCTGGATGTTTTTCTCGCATGATGTGGAATCTGTGCGCAATTGAAGCATCCTAACAGGGGGAAAAAAAAAAAAAAATCACACCTGTAAAACTTGTAGGGAAATGCAAAATGCCAAACCCAAACTGTTATCAGTGCATTTAAATGATATGACGTTTTATGCATTTTAATTGAATTCCTATTTCCATCCAAATGCAGATCAAAACTAATCCTGACTATAATATTAATAACCTAGTAAAGAAGTAATTAATCATTCCCAATATTTGAACATAATAGTAAATATTGAGAATCTGAATAAATTCATGTCATGCCACATAACTGCTTAAGTAAATGGACATAAAGATTAACAGAAAAATACCAGATTTAAAATAAAGGCTATATTTCTTAACACATTTTAATGGTTATCAACTAATGAGAACTGATATTTTGTAAGAAGATAGACAAAAGGTCAAAAGCAAAAAATTATATTGATTATTAAATGACTGTCTTCTCCTTGGCGATTTAATTCCGATTAAAACCAGTGATTTAAAATTACTTTGGCTTAAATAAATCCATTCTAATACAAGTATGGGGCAATGTTTCACTACAGTCAAACAAACAAGCAAACAAAAAATACTGACACTGAAAAGCTCCATTTTAGCTGACGTTAGATTCCCAAAATGGCACTTCCACATCAGAGGCAGATCCAGCTGTTTTATATAGTCTACTAACTCATGAACACTTTAGGAAAAAATTTAGTTTTTAAATTTTCATGTAATATTTATAATACGTATGCACACTGATACAGTTAGTTAAATTATCTGATAAAGAGGATGTAAAGCACTTTCAGATTATACATGAAAAACAACAAAGAAAAAGATAAGCTTTTACATGCATGCGCACATACACTTTAGTCACTGATGATGATGTAACATGGAATAAAGATTTTGAGCAGTATGCATTTGGCATAGCCAATCAAACTATTCACAAGTGATATCATTTAAATCATTAATTAAGACCTAAGCATAGTATCTCAAAAAAGTGCAAATCCACCCTGCCTTCTACTTTACTTCAGACTAACATGGCTAACTGTCTCATCTCAAAAACTGGTCAAAGAAACCTTCAGCTTATACTTCCATGTCATGCATTTTACAAGTACCATGTGCTTTGCAGAAACAGAATATTTTAGTAAAAAATATTTTGCTGTAGTTCATATACATGAAACCAAAGGCAGGGAAAGTGAGGCAACTGTAGCTCCACCACAAAAAGAAAAGAAAAGTATATGTATTATGAGAGAAGCAACAGTGTTAATAAAAACCAGCTTTATCAGCTTGACCTCTCACCCAAACTGCCATCTGAAATTTCCCTATGGAGCATCTCAAAAATCATTGTTTTGTCTATCTTATCTTATCTATTCACTAATCACTTTAGTTATAGAAGGTCGCAAAGTTTACATAGCAAACATTCACTACTACATGTGATACTGGAGCTGTAAAATACTAAGAATAAAGGGTACAGGTACACCTTGTAGACTAACTAATGCATAGGCTTTTGTGAGCCAGAGCTCATTTCATGACACTATGAAAGGACATGCATATAACAGGTAATCAAATAGAGACAGTGATTTGAAGACAAAAAACAGGGAATGAAGCGGAGAGCAGTGCTGAGAGAGACAAACAGGTAATAAACCCATAGGGACAAAGAGGGTCAAAAAGGCTAATCCAGGTGATGGGATAACAATCCACAGTCCCTGTTCAAACCATTCTTTACACAATCCTCCAAACAGTGGTCGCGTCTACGCGAGACACTGACTGTGCAGTAGCCAAAAGATACTGCTTAGTAGCACGTCACAGCACAGATGGTGCCAATACGCTACTGTGCAGTATTATTAGGCTATCGTGCAGTGGCATCACTTAGAAGATGTTCACTGGCACTACTGAGCATTTATTTAGTTCTTATTAATACAACTACTAAATAAATACACAGTAACGACTGCACAGTAGCATCTTGTGTAGATGCATCCATCTACACAAGATCTTAAGCAATGGGCTACATCAACTCCTAGTCTCAGTCAGGCATCAGGCCTTGCAATGGACCCAGATGCATGGTGTCCCCACATCAATACAAAACACAGCAGCATTGATTATAACATCTGAACTTCATTCAAATGTCATATATGTCATCAACTACTTACACTGCCTCTCTGCTGTCTATATTGGACAGATAGGACAATCAGTACATGAAAGAAAGAGGGGAAACTGATCTGATGTCAACTTCAGAAACACACAAAAGGCCGTGGAAGAACACTCAAGCCGTTCATTGTTGACCTCAGAGTAGCTTATTCACCAAAACTTTAAAATGGTAACATTGTGGAACAAGAAATATCCACAGACCGGATTGTGTAAAGTATGGTCTCAACAGGGATTACAAATTATTATGACCTGTTTTCTTTTTGTTTTGTTTTGTTTTACCTCTGTGTCCCTATGGATTTATTACTTGTTTGGCTTTCTCAGCATTGCAGCCCCTCCTCCTTCACCCCTACATTCAACAGTTTCCTAGCTTTTGAATTCATAATTTCACAGTTGTTAGGGGAT